CCTGGAGGTGATCAGAAATCCTGAAGTGACTGCCGACGAGATGTTGGAAGAAGAACACGCCAGTGAAGAGGAGGAAGAAGGTGCGGCAGTCTCCGAAGAACACAATTTAAGTCATAGTGATATTAAGGGTGCCATGGAGTGTGCAGAGAAGATGAAGTCCTTCCTTTCCCGCGACAATGACGATGACCGCTATGAAGTCTTCCATAACCGGCTGGTGCAGGCTATGGAGCCGTACATCAAGGTGTATCACGACAACATCAACGCCAGCCGTCAGCAAAGCATAACAGATTTCTTCACCCGCAACCCACCACAGCCAGCCCAAGCCAGTGATAGTGACAGTGAAGTTGACTTTGAGGGATTTGTCAGGGAAGCCCTGACAACTGTGACAGTGATGATGATTCACCTAGTAATGGTGATTCACCTGAGGGCCAGTAATCTGCCCTCTGCCTCGGAACCAGCCTCCATCCCCGTATGCCGACCCATCTCTTCTACTACCGTAAGTGTTCCACCTAACTTTTAGTTTCTCTAAGGTAACCTTCATTTTTCCTATGTTAACCTTTATCTTTCCTAACCTAACCTCTTCTATATTACTTGTTTTTTCATACCATCATAAAGTTAGGATAAAATTTTTACTGCAACATAGTTATTTGTCGTCAAAAAGTGGAGTTTGGGGATCGGCCTGGACTCCATTTCAATTAATCCCATATGTTATGTTGTTCACTTTACGCGTTCCTCACTTTCCGCGGGACCCTCTGGGTTACATTAACCGCGTAATATGAGGACCAACTGTATAGCGCAGTGCAGTGTTGATTTAAAGAGAATTATCTTGAATTACACCTAGTGAACTTAAAATTTTATGGGTGAAATGATGGCATGAAGCATGGGGTGACTTCTCTTCCACCCCAATGCCTTCTCTTCTCCCTTCTCCTCCACCACCATTCTAATTCCCATCATTATCATCATCAACCAGGAGCCTTCTACATGCACACCTCAAAGTAAGTGCACTTTACTGCATTTATTTTTAGTTTGTATGTAATTTTCGGTGAGCTGGAACCGATTACCTAAATCCAATTGAAACAATGGTTACGGTTAACGAAATTTTCGGTTAACGAACGACCTTCTGGAACGAATTGTGTTCGTTAACCAAGGGACCACTGTAATAATAATAATAATAATAATAATAATAATAATAATAATAATAATAATAATAATAATAATAATAATAAAAATAATAATATAATAATAACAATAATAACAATAATAAAGAACCATAGAGAAATACAAAATGAAAAAAGATCAAAAGTGAGAAACAATACAGTAAACCACCGCTTTACGCGGTTTCACTTTACGCATTTCCACGTTTATGCGGTACCCTGCCGAACACGGAATGCTCACTTTACGCGGTGTGTGTACCCTTTTATGCAGAGAGCGGCTGTCGGTCCTCTCGCGCCGCGCCATTTTTGGATCCAAACCTCCCGCCATCCCGCCATTTTGGGTAAGCGGCGCGAGTAGGTTGCGCAGTGTATGTCTTTGTTGCGTTATCGGTGACGTCATATGACGTATCGGACTGTGATTGGGCCAAGCATCCTTACCTCCCTCCCCCGCTAGCTGTGATTGGTTTAATGTACTATGACGTGCCCCGCCGCGGGAGCATTCAAGCCCCTTGACCTACCCGCGTCAGTTACACCCCTCCCGGCTACACCGTGTATATCGGTATCCATTGTTCCATAAGAATGGCTTCCACCGGACCACCGGACCACCACCACCACCACAAAGAAACCTTGCATTACCTGGACCCAGCCGCCCTAAGTCAAAGAAGATACGACGTTCCTTAAGCTACGAAATTAAATACAAGATCATCCAAGAGTTGGAGAAAGGAACAAGACAGGTTGATCTCGCGCGCCAGCATGGTGTTAACGAGTCTACGATCAGGACAATCAAGAAGGATGCACCCAAGATAAAGGAGCACATGAACATCACAAAGTCTACAGGTGCTTCGATGATCAAGTATTGCCACAACCAGGTGCTTCTCAAGAAGGAGAAATTACTTGTGAGCTACTTGATTCGTCAGGCGCGATGGAACATGGCGGTGGACACGCGCTCAGTTAAGGAGTACACACGTGAACTCTATGCTGCAGTGTCACGTAAGATGGGAATTGCAGAGCCCAAACCCTTTAATGCTTCCTCTGGGTGGTTGCAGAGATTTAAGAAGACGAAAAAGATCACCAACATTAACATTGGTGGTGAAGAAGCTAGTGCTGACCGTGTTGCGGCAAGGGAATTTCCTCCGTTTATACGTGACATTATGGAGGAAGGACAGTACACCGACGACCAGGTGTTTAACATGGACGAATCTGGTCTTTTATGGAAAAAGCTACCTTCCAAGACTTTCTTTGTGAAGAATGCCAGCAAGATTCGGGGCCGGAAGATGCAGAAGGAGCGCATCACCGTCCTGTTTTCCACCAATGCCTCCAGTACCTGTAAGCTCAAGTTATCGGTGATCCACACAGCACGCAAGCCGCATGCCTACAAGAGCATGGACATGACCAAGCTAAATGTCCACTGGCTGACCGCACGTAAGGCGTGGATGTTCTCTACTCTGTCCCTCTCCTGGTTTGATGACTGTTTCGTTCCTGACGTTAAGAAATTCTGTGAGCAACACAATGTTCCATTCAAGATTTTGTTGCTGCTGGACAACGCACCAGGACACTCGCCCCTACTGTTAGATCGCCACCCCAACGTAAAAGTGGTCTTCCTTCCTCCCAACACTACGTCATTAATACAGCCCATGGACCAAGAAGTGATCTGTAATGTGAAAGCTGCATTCTCTGCAAAGAAATTTAAGCTCCTGAACGACTACACCAACACCAAGGACGAGTTGCGTAACCTGGGTGACACCGATAGCAAGAGCGAAGACAACGAGGAACAACAGTTGGCAGAGCAAGAAGTACTTGTGAAACAATTTTGGAGAACATTCAACGTCAAGAAAGCTGTGGACTTCTTGGTGGAGGCATGGGATCAGCTGTCTGTAGCAACTGTTCGTCACGCATGGAGACATGAGTTGCAAGGTATTCCAGGTGGGAGGCAGAGTAAATCTGTGACTGGTGAGGTTCAGACTGTTGCAGTAGCAGTGGACCTTGCCAGAGAAGCTGCGCAGAGTGTTACAGCTGCAGGCTTCTCCGAGACCACCAACGACGACATCCTGGAGGTGATAAGGGATCCTGATGTGACTGCCAACAAGATGCTAGATGATGATGACATCAGTGAAGAGGCAGGTGGTGCATCATCCCAAGAAGAACGCAAGTTATCGCATAGTAATGTAAGGGGTGCCATCGAGTGTGTTGAGAAACTCAAGCTCCTCCTTTCCGACGACCCTGACGATAACCGGTATGAAATCATCACTACCCAGCTGTTTCAGACTATGGAGCCTTACATCAAGGTGTATCACGACAACATCAACACCAGCCGTCAGCAAAGCATTACCGAGTTCTTCGCCCGCAACCCACCACAGCCAGCCCAAGCCAGTGATAGTGACAGAGACAGAGACAGTGATGATGACTTTGAGGGATTTGTCAGGCAGGCACTAGTAAGTGTGGATGACATTGATGAAGACTTACCTAAGGGCCAGTAACCTATCCTCTGCCTCAGAACCAGCCTCCATTCCCGTACGCCGACCCATCTCTTCTACTAACGTAAGTGTTAACCCTAACCTTGTTTTTTTCTAACCTAACCTACAGTATATTATTCCCTTATTGATTGTTCCCGTCTATATTATGTGTGTGTGAATACCATCATAAAGTTAAGATGTTATTTTTACTAAAACGTACGTATTGTGCCGGGAAAAAGTGGAGTTTGGGGGTCGGCCCGGTCTCTATTTCAATTAATCCCATATGTTATGTTGTTCACTTTACGCGTTTCTCGCTTTATGCGGGCCGCCGTGGGTTCAATTGACCGCGTAAAGTGAGGGTTCACTGTATATATGTATGTTGTGTTGTCAATAGTAAGAGAAACAATTGAGACCCTGCAAATGTGTGTAAATGAGGCAGAAAGTCAGATGAGCAACCTGGGACTTGGTCACAATTTTTGCAATGCCATGTGGAAGCAGGGTCTACCATTAGACAATACATTATGCTTCCAATATCTTCCCAGGTGGTAGTGCCTCCTTGTTTGGTATCTCCCTAATACCTACTACCTTAGCCAGTTGCCAGGCACACCCCAGCATGATGAATAGTTCAGTGTATTGAGTCTAGCTTTAGTGGCTGAGGAGTACACCTCCCACCCATAATCCAGTTTGAGTCGAACTAGCATGTGGTGAAGGTGTAGCAGAGTCCCGTGGTCAGCACCCCATGACGTGTGCCCCAAGACTCTCAATAACTTAGGAGCACACTGGCAAGACTCTTTGAGGTAACAAATATGTAGCTGTCACATAAGCTGGTTGTTGAAGATAATGTCCCAGAAACGGGTCTCTGTGACACACCGCACACGACCACCATAGAGCTGTAGATCGCGGTCTGAGTGAACACCTCGAAGGCGGCTGATATGCATGGCAATAGTCGTCAAGGAAGAAAATCTGCTACCATGCTCTGTGGTTCAACGTGAAATGTTGTCTTGTGAAAGTTGCATGCAACGTTCAGCCAATGACATGAGGGAAGCTGCATACCAAATGGAGAACCCTAAGGTATCAGCCCATAAGTTAGGTGAGTAAGTCCATGAAACTCTTGGTCTACTGTACAGTATCACTTATAAAAGAAGGGTTAATACAAAGCATGTTGATAATGGAGAGATTTGCAGAAGAATCAACACTCTTAAGGAGCTACTCTAATGAATTAAGATAATTTAACAATAATAATTTTATATATCAAGATTTCCCACTACTGTACTGTATTTTGCAATAAAAAAATAGGGATAAATTTTACATGTAATAAACAGACACCATCAAATGCTTAATATTAACTCAATATTTAACTCTGTGAAAGAAAGCATAAAATGAATCAACTTACGATGAATTACAGTTCAGTGCCAAACGATGTGGTCGGCACGGGAGAGAGTAACGTGCAATGAGAGCAACATGTGGAAGAGTATATCTTTGAAGTTTTCCAGATTCCCTTCCAATAATTAGTACCCGTTCACTTGCAGTTATACAGCATACAGGGTCACTAGTAGCCTGAAATACAATTGGTATATTAAGATTCTTTTCAAATTATTTTTCAATTTCATGTATCTCTTTTCAAAAAGGAGGAACAATCCTGAAATCCCTCTTTCCGAGTAAAAGGCTTATCCTTCCTTTCCACATGTACTGTTGGCTTTGTATGAGGAGTACAAAAGCCACCTGGCATATGGGCAAAGAACCAGAAAAAGAAACAAGCAAAACTGGAACAACATTGAGGATTATAAAGTTTTCTCACTTTGCAAAGTTTATCTTGTATTTCTAAAATTCTATTCGTACAAGGGCAGTTTACTCATACAATAAAATCCCATCTTTATGAATTGGGGAGGAACCAAATTCATCTGTTTAAAAAGATTCTCCTTAATACCAGCACAGGACAAGGTAATCTAAGAGTTACAGTGAAATAAACAAAAACATGAATAACCATCGAAAATAAACATGTAGAATAGTGTGTTTCCTTTTGTATTCACACTAATCACGACAAAGTATTTAGTTGCAATATTTAAAAATGGCCAAGAAAAATCATGTTTAATCCTCTCAGCCTCATAAGACGCCATTGGGGCATCGAACGTAAAAGGCAAAAAAACTTAGGCTCAGCCTCGCGACGATGGGCTATATTTTCAAATAACTCAAAAACTATTCGGTGAAACTGACTGAACTTTGAACGCCATTTGACAGACGTGGTCTTCTTTGTGTGGGCCTTATCAACTTCCCTTACGCGGTCTTGGTCATCGTGTGCATGGCAGCGCAGCATGAAGCCAGTGTCGCTCTGGCCATTAGAGCGAGAGGAAGGTGCGCTGCTAGGCTCTTTAATTATTCCATGAGTTTTCTGTTATATTATTTTTCCTTATCCCAAGATATTCTCCATGCTTTGTTCTTTATTTTGGTATATAGTACATATCAATGAACACCATAAAACAAGGAAAATGTGAATGGAAATCAATATTTTACTAAACATTTTCCTACTTTCTCAACTTATACTCGAAAAAAAGTGGCTTAAATTTCAAGAATTTTAAATTTTTTATGGTTCCATACAATTTTTCAAAAAAATTTACACTAGGAGAGACCCCATTACAATTAGTAAAACAATTCCATGGCAGTGAAATGAGCCCATAAAAAAAAAAATTTTTTTGTTCAATCCAGAATGCGAAGTCTAGCTTTGTACCTGCATATGTATATGCCTTGCATTAACTCGCCAGGCCAACATACAGGCAATTAAAACATATAATAATTACTAAAATACATACCGGTAATATTAGGAGGACGTGTCGCTACCTGGCATTTAATTGCAATTCTCAAAACCCCCTCCCACACCCTCCATCACACGCATCACTGCTGTCATCTTCTTGCCTGGTGACTCAACTATAAACATGCACAAAGAGGGCTCCGCTATTTTGTGTTGTGTTTGCTGAAATATTAAGTAGGACGAGGAATTTACCTTCGGTAACTATACATCTTAGCACGGTGAGCAAATTGAGTGACTTTAGTTTTGGTTATGTCATTCAGATTTTGTGTTTGGGGTAGTTTTTTATACGGCCTGGTCAATCACGGCGACCGCGGCTCGTCTTCTATCTGGGAAGACAGTCAAAGTCTAGTGACTGATGATTTTCTGTTTTCAAGTCATTTAGTGAATGACGTTTGTTTTTAGCTCTTCCGGGCTCGTCATCACTATATGCAGTAGTACCCCGATTTACGCGGTCAATTGAACCCACAGGGTACCGCGTTAAGTGAAATCAGCGTAAATGGAATAACAGAACATATGGGATTAATTCCAATAGAGACTGGCCCGACCCCCAAACTCCACTTTTTCCGACACAATACCTATGTTGTAGTAAAAATAACATCTAAATTTTATGATGGTATGCTCACACAATTAATATTTACGAGAAATACAGTCGCCAGGTTAATGTCCATTCAAATAATAGACTCAAATCACCCCCCCCTCTTCCCAGCTCACTGGCCCCTACCTCTCTGAGAAATGATTGGGTGAAACACTAGATTTTAACGTTTAGTAATAAATAATACCTCAGATTAAAGTTAGGATAATATAATTGACATTTCTGGATTCCTTGCAGGTCAGGGAATATTTTGAATGTAAACTTCATATATTTTGCACAAAAGATAAAATGCTTGCTTTGTGTAAACCAAATTATTACATTAGATCTAAAATTTGTAAGTCTAATGCAAAATCCATGATGTTTATATTCAAAATGATCATCATATTGTAAGAATTCCAGCAATGTAAATATTATTATTCTGGTCCAGTAATTTGTATGAATTTTATGAGCTAAAACAAATATCTTCAGTTAATAAAAAAAAAAAATATTCTTCACGACACTATCTGTCAATCAAATTACCCCAACTTGCTTCCCCCCCTCTTCCAACCACGCCAGATGGTCGGTCGGTCCCAACCCTCCCCCCCACCCCCCACCTTCCCTCCCTACCAGAGAAATGTTGGGTGAAAAAACTAATTTTAACTTTTAGTAACAAATAATACCTAAGACTAAAGTTAGGATAATATAATTGACATTGCTGGATTCCTTGTAAGACCAGGAACATTTTGAATATAAATGTCATATATTTTGCACAAAAGATAACATATTTACTCAGAGTAAACATTACATCTAAAATTTGTATGTCTAATGCAAAATCTATGATGTTTATATTCAAAATGATCATCAAATTGTAAGAATTCCAGCAATGTAAATTATATTCTGGCCGGGTAATTTGTATGAATTTTATGAGCTAAAACAAATATCTTCAGTTAATAAAAAAAAAAATATTCTTCACACCATGCCAGATAGTCGGTCGGTCCCTCCCTCCCTCCCCCCCACCCCCCACCAACCCTCCCTACCAGATAAATGTGTGGGAAAACCAGAATATTTAGCTTTTTAGTAATAAATAATACCTCAGACTAAAGTTAGGATTATATAATTGACATTGCTGGATTCCTTGTAAGACCAGGAATATTTTGAATATAAATGTCATATATTTTGCACAAAAGATAACATATTTACTCAAAGTAAACATTACATCTAAAATTTGTATGTCTAATGCAAAATCTATGATGTTTATATTCAAAATGATCATCAAATTGTAAGAATTCCAGCAATGTAAATTATATTCTGGCCGGGTAATTTGTATGAATTTTATGAGCTAAATAAAAAAAAAAATTATACTTCACGCGTATATGGGTAGATGAACCGCGTAAAGTGAAAGTTCGGTTCTGGCGAGGCACCTCGTATATGAGAAATCGCGTAAAGTGAAACCACGTAAAGCAGGGTACAACTGTATATACAGTATTACCCCGCTTTACGCGTTTCCACGTTTACGCGGTACCCTGCCAGAGCCGGAATGCTCACTTTACGTGGTGCGTGTACTCTTTTACGCGGAGAGCGGCGCGAGCAGGGTGCGCACGAGATCGCCCAGTCATCAAAACATTACCGAGTTCTTCACCCGCCACCCACCCCAAGTCAGTGATAGTGATAGTGATAGTGAGGATATGGATTTATATGGACTTTGAGGGGTTTGACAAAGAGGCCCTGCAAGCCTCTGTGGTGGATAGTGATACAAGTGATACAGGTGAGGGCCAATAATCTGCCCTCTGCCTCGGAACCAACCCCCCATCCCCGTGTGCCCAGCCATCTTTTCTACTAATGTAAGTGTTAAACAATCTAATATTATTGATATTTCTCTTAATTATTAATTGTGTGTGCATACCATCATAAAATTAAGAAGTTATTTTTACTACAACGTAGTTATTGTGTCTGAAAAAGTGGAGTTTGGGGGTCGGCCCGGTCTCTATTTCAATTAATCCCATATGTTATGTTATTCACTTTACGCGTTTCTCGCTTTACGCGGGCCTCCGTGGGTTCAATTGACCGCGTAGAGCGAGGGTTCACTGTATATTTATTTTTATTTTAGCCCCAACTATAACCGTGCAAGTGTTGTGATAAGTTACCATGGTGAATGTGGCCATCCCTCTCCCTCTTCTCATGTTCATCATGAAATTCTTCTGGCTTCTGCCCTGGGTTTTATGATTACTCTAGCATTCAGCCAGAGTTAAGTTTTCTCTTCACAACTCTATTTTATTCATGTCCTCAGTAGTGGGTTCAGCCCTTCCTCGGCAAACTTTAGCGAGGCTGCTAGTCTTAGCGATCCTTCCGGACGCTGACCTTCCGGTCTTACTTGCAATCTAGAATTATGTTGGGATGAACTTTTTATCATCAGTATAGGTTAAATGAAAACCACTCAAATGGTGAGATTTCTCAGCCCAATACATCTCGCTAGAGTAATGGTGAACAATGTCTGTGCAACCTGGTTGGCAAGAAATAGAGAACTGGATGATCATTCAAAATATTCTATGGCTATAAATGTTCTCAACTGAAGTTAGTTTGATCAAGAAACACAATTCAGTGAGCTGAAGGACAATTGAGACAAGAGAAGGGAGAGGTGTATGAAATAGTGAGTTAGTTGTTCATGATTGTCACACTGGTGACTCATAAGAATATTAGGAGATATTAACTGGATATACTGAAATATCACAGTAATGAGTCATACTAATTATGTTTGGGAGAAATGTAATCTCCCTTGTATTATTATGATAATGATGATACAACATGACTCATAGTGTTCCTCCTATTTTAGATGAGTGATGTGCAAGGGGAGGATGAAGGACAGTTGTCTGGGTTGCTAGATGATGGAGGACACCACGGACCTGTCTCTGGGGAGTTAGTGTTGAGTGAGGAGCTACAAGGACTGGATTGCTCGACTCAGCTCACACACTGCATACAAGGAAGTCTCCGTCACTAGAGGATGTGAATTCAGTAGTACAGTAATAGGTTCACCTATGACCCAAGGGGACCATACTACATGTAATAATTAAGGATGTAGGGCCACTTGGATTACTAATTCAGATCCTCATTTGGCTTGCATAGATCATGCCAGTTGTGTTTCAGACAACCTGTTCTCACCATTGGTTTGTGCAGTTTGTTAAG